GTTTTTGGTGATTCTCCTGCCTCAGCCTCCCCAGTAGCTGAGAGTATAGGTGTCTGCTCCCACACCTGGCTAATTTCTGTATTTTTAGTAGAGACGGGGTTTTGTGATATTGGCCAGGCTTGTCTTGAACCTCAGGTGATCTACCCTCCTCAGCCTTCCAAAATGCTAAGATTATAGGTGTGAGCCATGCACTCAGCCAAGTATTCCTTAATTTAGAAATATAATGTTACCAGTTTAGTCTATATTCTTCTTTGTGCTTGTAAATACAGGCAGGGTGGAGTGTTTGTGAGATCTGTCCTTACTCTAATGACATAATGTTATTGGTAGACGTGTTGTTGGTGAAGCTCCATTAGGGTGATTCAGATGCTGCTTGAGCTCAGGTGCTAAGTACCTGGCTAGTTCCGTAAAGGTAGCAAGTCCAACAGGTTTGTAAAAGCTTCTGATTTCAGGCTGGGTGCGGGGGGCTCATGCCTGTAATCCCAGCACTTTGGGAGGATGAGGCAGGCAGATCACTTGAGGTCAGGAGTTCAAGATCAGCCTGTCCAACATGGTGAAACCCGATTCTATTGAAAATACAAAAAATTAGCCGGGTGTGGTGGCACCTGTAATCCCAGCACTTTGGGAGGATGAGGCAGGCAGATCACTTGAGGTCAGGAGTTCAAGATCAGCCTGTCCAACATGGTGAAACCCGATTCTATTGAAAATACAAAAAATTAGCCGGGTGTGGTGGCACCTGTAATCCCAGCACTTTGGGAGGATGAGGCAGGCAGATCACTTGAGGTCAGGAGTTCAAGATCAGCCTGTCCAACATGGTGAAACCCGATTCTATTGAGAATACAAAATATTAACCGAGTGTGGTGGCAGCTGCCTGTAATCCCAGCTACTTGGGAGGCTGAGGCAGGAGAATCACTCGAACCCAGGAGGCAGAGGTTGCGGTGAGCCAAGATTGTGCCATTGCACTCCAGCCTGGGCAACAGAGCAAGACTCCATCTCGGGGGGGTAAAAAAAAAGCTTCTGATTTCATCTCCATTTTCTCCCACCCATTTCTTTGATAAGTGATAATTCTTTTTCTCCTTTACATTTAAGGTTCCTCAGAAAATTTTGAGTAAATGGGAAGCCAGTGTTGGACTTGCTGAACAGTATGATGTTCCCAAGGGGTCAAAGAACCGAAAATGTATTCCTGGTTCAATTAAGTTGGACAGTGAGGAAGATATGCCATTTGAGGACTGCACAAATGATCCTGAGTCAGAACATGACCTGTTGCTTAATGGCTGCTTGAAATCGCTGGCTTTTGATTCTGAACATTCTGCAGATGAGAAGGAAAAGCCTTGTGCTAAATCTCGAGCCAGAAAGAGCTCTGATAATCCAAAAAGGACTAGTGTGAAAAAGGGCCACATACAATTTGAAACCCGTAAAGATGAACGGAGGGGAAAGATCCCAGAGAACCTTGGCCTAACCTTTCTCTCCGGGGATGTATCTGATACGCAGGCCTCTAATGAACTTTCCAGGATAGCAAATAGCCTCACAGGGTCCAACACTGCCCCAGGAAGTTTTCTGTTTTCTTCCTGTGGAAAAAACACTGCAAAGAAAGAATTTGAGACTTCAAATGGTGATTCTTTATTGGGCTTGCCAGAGGGTGCTTTGATCTCAAAGTGTTCTCGAGAGAAGAATAAACCCCAACGGAGCCTGATGTGTGGCTCAAAAGTGAAGCTCTGCTATATTGGAGCAGGTGATGAGGAAAAGCGAAGTGATTCCATTAGTATCTGTACCACTTCTGATGATGGAAGCAGTGACCTGGATCCCATAGAACACAGCTCAGAGTCTGATAACAGTGTCCTTGAAATTACAGATGCTTTTGATAGAACAGAGAACATGTTATCTATGCAGAAAAATGAAAAGATAAAGTATTCTAGGTTTCCTGCCACAAACACTAGGGTAAAAGCAAAACAGAAGCCTCTCATTAATAACTCACATACAGACCACTTAATGAATTGTACTAAGAGTGCAGAGCCTGGAACTGAGATGTCTCAGGTTAATCTCGCTGATCTGAAGGCATCTAGTCTTGTTCACAAACCCCAGTCAGATTTTACAAATGGTGATCTTGCTCCAAAATTCAACATGTCATCAAACATATCCAATGAGAACTTGCTAATAAAGGGTGGGGCAGCAAATCAAGCTCTATTACATTCGAAAAGCAAACAGCCCAAGTTCCGAAGTATAAAGTGCAAACACAAAGAAAATCCAGTTATGGTAGAATCCCCAGTTATAAATGAAGAGTGCAGTTTAAAATGCTGCTCTTCTGATAACAAAGGCTCTCCTTTGGCCAGCATTTCTAAAAGTGGAAAAGTGGATGGTCTAAAACTACTGAACAATATGCATGAAAAAACCAGGGATTCAAGTGTCATAGAAACAGCAGTGGTGAATCATGTTTTATCCGAGTTGAAGGAACTCTCTTACAGATCCTTAGGTGAGGATGTCAGTGACTCTGGAACATCAAAGCCATCAAAACCATTACTTTTCTCTTCTGCTTCTAGTCAGAATCACATACCTATTGAACCGGACTACAAATTCAGTACCTTGCTAATGATGTTGAAAGATATGCATGATAGTAAGACAAAGGAGCAGCAGTTGATGACTGCTCAAAACCTGGTCCCTTATCGGAGTCCTGGTCGTGGGGAATGTTCTGCTAATAGTCCTGTAGGAGCCTCTAAGGTTTTGGTTTCAGGAGGCTCCACACACAATTCAGAGAAAAAGGGAGATTGCACTCAGAACTCAGCCAATCCTAGCCCTAGTCGGGGTGACTCTGCACTGTCTGGGGAATTGTCTGCTTCCCTACCTGGCTTAGTGTCTGACAGAAGAGATCTCCCTACTTCTGGCAAAAGTCGTTCAAACTGTGTTACTAGGCGCAACTGTGGACGGTCAAAGCCTTCATCCAAATTGCGAGATGCTTTTTCAGCCCAAATGGGAAAGAACACAGTGAACCGTAAAGCCTTAAAGACAGAGCGCAAAAGAAAACTGAATCAGCTTCCAAGTGTGACTCTTGATGCTGCACTGCAGGGAGACCGAGAACATGGAGGTTCATTGAGAGGTGGAACGGAAGATTCTAGTAAAGAGGAACCCCTTCAAATAATGGACCATTTAACAAGTGAAGATGGTGACCATTTTTCTGATGTGCATTTCGATAACAACATTAAACAGTCTGATCCTGATAAAATTTCTGAAAAAGGACCCTCTTTTGAAAATGGAAAAGGCCCAGAGCTGGACTCTGAAATGAACAGTGAGAATGATGATCTCAGTGGTGTAAATCAAGTGGTGCCTAAAAAGCGGTGGCAGCGTTTAAACCAAAGGCGCACCAAACCTCGTAAGCGCATAAACAGATTTAAAGAGAAAGAAAACTCTGAGTGTGCCTTTGGGGTCTTACTTCCTAGTGACCCTGTGCAGGAGGGGCGGGGCGAGTTTCCAGAGCATAGAACTCTTACTTCAGCAAACATACTTGAGGAACCTCTGACAGATCAAAATCATGCTGACTGCTTAGATTCAGTTGGGCCACGATTGAATGTTTGTGATAAATCCAGTGCCAGCATTGGTGACATGGAAAAGGAGCCAGGAATTCCCAGTTTGACACCACAAGCTGAGCTCCCTGAACCAGGTAAGAACATCTGACTGTGATAAAAAAGAAAATTGGATAAAGTGCTGATAAATGTTGCCCTTCTGAAATTGGTCTGTTGTAATGGTAAAGTGAAGTATAAACTGGGAGGGAAAAATCATCACTTTAATGAAGAAAGAGTTTTATGTAGGAAGGTCTGAATTTTGAAGATGAGATTTCCATATGTTTTCAGAAGTTAAGCTTTACCAGAAGCCCTTTTCTCCAACCTTTTCGAGTTAATCTCTATAACATTTTTGCTCCTGATCCCCATTTCTTTCTTCTATTTTTAAAAAATATTTTACTTTTGAGATAGGATCTTGCTGTGTTGCCCAGCCTGGTCTGAAACTCTTGGGTTCACACCATCTGCCAGCCTCTGCCTCCCAAGGTACTGGAATTACGGGCATGAGCCACCATGCCTGACCTGTTCACCTTTTAAAATCTCCAAGCTTTTTGGGACTTAATATGTAATTGCAAGTAATTGAGAGGCTCTGATCCTAAGATTTAAATCCAGTTGTTAGGTTATAGAAAGCAAATAGACTGGCCGGGCACAGTGGCTTGCGCCTATAATCCCAGCACTTTGGGAGGCCAAGACGTGGATCACGAGCTCAGGAGATTGAGGCCATCCTGGCTAACACAGTGAAACCCCATTTCTACTAAAAATACAAAAAATTAGCTGGGCATGGTGGTGCCGCCTGTAGTCCTAGCTGCTTGGGAGGCTTAGGCAGGAGAATCCCTTGAACCCAGGAGGTGGAGGTTACAGTGAGCCGAGATCG